CAGGATATTTTGGAAATGTGTATCGCGGTCATATGCGAGACTCGGCAGGACGAACACACCCGGTTGCTGTGAAGACGTTGAAAGGTGAGGCAATGCACAGCTTTCCTTTTGCGCCATTACGTCCACCCATACCCCGAATCCTCGGGTTTATGTTGCGTAAACTTTGCAAAAAGGTTAATTAGTTTTGTTCTCCGTCATTGTTTCAAACTCACGAAAAGACGAATTTACCTATGTTTTAAAAATATGGAATTTGGCGCGGTGAAGGGGAATTTCGTCCAAAGTTTTTTTGCTCCGTCTGAGTGCCATCAATTTTAAATTCATGTGTTCATTCTCAATCACCAAAGCTTGTAGCTTATATATTTGTTGTGAACAGAGGATGTTCTATGAAAATTTCTGCAAATGAAGGTAACCTCAAATTTAGGTTCTCTTCCACCGTAGAATTTAGCTTTTTTGAACTTGTAGCTAAGCACTGATTCTCTTGAAGTTACGTCTCAGAAATTTCCGATAGCGTTTGAGGAGGGTAATGAGGCACTCAAAATCTGAATTTTATTTGTTTTATATTGAATGTTACTGTACCCTTATTGGTTTTGTGAGAATTAAGTTGAGCTTTTATTTGGAGATATCTTAATGTAGGATAATGGTACTGAAGGGAATTTTTTTGAAGTCAGTCTTTAGCTTGTTTCCTGCCTTTGCTTTTATGTGATGTGTCCAAAAACTGCTCCACCTCTTCCAGTTGTTTTGTTCTCTAATATTTGATTAATAATACGTTTCTCGAAGATTGTTTTGTAGGCGAACGTTCGCGAGATATCGCTCATATCGAGAAGTTCCTCCGTGAAGGGATAATCATGAAGCATTTTGACCACCAACATGTCCTCTCACTAAAAGGCATTGCGATCTCCCCTTCCGGGACACCTTGGGTGATTTTGCCGTTTATGGAAGGAGGCGATCTGAAAACATATATTGCAGATCCGAATAGGGTAAGAGTTAAGCCTTATCTTATAGCTCCTGGTCATAACTTACTTCGAGCGTATCTTAATCGAATAATATTTCATTGTTAAGGCCCTTTGTGTGCTGGAACTCCTCGACTTTGCCTATCAGGTAGCTCAAGGGATGGCGTATTTAGCTGCTCAGCACTTTGTTCATAGAGATCTTGCTGCTAGAAACTGCATGTGAGTTGCCTGCTCTGTGTAAACATCGTACTATGGGTGTCAGATTGTGAAGCAGGTTTTGCCTAGCTAGGTAATGATTGATAGCGGAATGCAACTATCAATCAGTACCTACATCTATCACTTGGTGTCCAATATCTAGCTTAAAGTCCTTAACTTATGCCTAAGGTTTACCACGGAAGCCAGTCTTGGTAACAACGATGCTGGATATAAAAAATACCAAATATCTTGTCACTTTTCGAACATGCAGCGGCTTAGAAATTCTGTTCTTATAATCGGATTGTTGCTAATTTCTAATAAGAGAATATTTATCACATTCTTATCATTTAGCAATCTAGTGTAGATGAAATTCGGTACAGGATTGCGTCAGGGACCTCCCACTCACGAGCGGTTTTGTCAACTGATAGGCTGTTAGCATCGAACAGTTGATGAGCGCGCTTCATCGTTTTTAAAAAACCGCTCGCTCGTGGGGTAAGACCCTGTAATGGGTCGTACCTCACAAAAATAGAATAAATCTGATGGCTTTTGATTCCATATTATAACACTGAGGTTTTTTTTCGATTAGTGGCGTACTGTAGATAAGTATATTGTATCATGCTGGAAATCGTCGCATATTTATCTAGCTGTGTGATAAGAAGTGCCAGAAAACAAGTATACCATTCTCTATTGCGCATAAAACCAGTGGAAGAGTTTTCAGAGATTTTTGAGGTTTGTTCTCAAAACTCCAGCTAGTTGTTTTTCATGAAATATAGTGAGGAGTGTCGGACAAGTCCCTACTTTTTTACTTATACTTAGGAAGTTTCTAAGAACCAGAAGTTTTGGCAGTGCATTATATATCATTTGAAAGAAGAATTCTCTGTTTACAAGGATATGTTTGACTTACAAGTAATTTCGAAATAACTTAATTTGAAAGTTCTGAGAAACAAACATTAACCGACAGCTAATTTCTTGAAATGGAAGGAGCTTGAAAATCGCTATAATACTAATTAGTAAGGGAGTTGGATATGCTGATTACCAAAATTATATCTTTCTTCACAATAAGGCCTTACTATGGGATCACTGTTGGCCCATGCTACGATGGCAAAGCTCACTTGTGTGAAAAGTGGTCTAATGGGGTTTGTTGTTATGAAAAAAAGATACTCACACTGCATAATAAGCGGTAAAAATCATTAATTAACTGGAAGAAGGAAACTTGGGCAATCTTATGTCTATTGCGCAGATTGTCTTTACTTTCGGGGAAGAGATATGGTTAAGGTAATCTACAAGCTGTTAAACCTCAGTAGACCACTTTTCAGGCAAATCTGCGAATTGACCCTGTGTCATTCACCTACCGTAATTTACAGTAGGTTGCTATCGAATGGCTATAATTTTTATAAACAGCATAGCCTTTTACCTCACTACGCGACCATTCTAAATTCCGGATTTCTTACAATCCACGAAAATAAGCTGTCGGTTTGGCTTTTTTAGCCGAAAAACATTTTCAATCACTTCTACTTCAATAGACTAAAAAAAATTTGGAAGAAAAAAAGCTCACTATTTTGTAATGGGAAACATCTGGGGTGGTAGTAATCTGACAATAAAACTGCGAGTTAACTGTGAGTTAATTCACCATAGGTTCCATACTCCAGAGACAAGAGAACAAAAGTGATAGT